TGTAGTGAACTAAGCCTCAGGTCAAAACCTGACCCTGAGGACCTTCATGGGACAGGAACTGTTATTTCATTGATTTGAATCCAGAAATACAAATTAAGCTCATCCAGAGACTTTCTAATTGTATCCTGAACTAATCAATTGAAAGAACACTCTCTTTTTATTATCATTACTATTTTCACAAATGTCTTGATAATCAAAAGTGTGTTTAGTTCAAACCATTTTAAATGTTGAAGTGAACTACTCATTTTAAATCAACTGTGAAACAGTATTAATGATTTTTAGTCCTCATTCAAAGTAGAAATCAAGTTAGATGTCTGTTACAAAGTAATTATGCATTTTTTGATCTTCTGTCTGAAATGAGAAGGAGTGATGTCGGTCAAAAGTCGGAGACAGTCGCAAACAAGTTTATTGGAACGAACTGTCATGTTTTTAAAACCTCTCAGACAGAAACAGAGAAGCTGGCACCTGTGGTCTGTCATTTCGCCAAAACATTTCTCTGTCTGCTCCAAAACATTTCTTTGTCTGTTCTTAAACATCTCCGCTGTTTTTCTGACTTGTAGTAACCTCTTACGTCACTAAAACCACACCCCTGTTGGTTCTTTCAGCCAATCAGGACTTCTCAAATGGGACCAGAAACAGAACTCTTTAAATGTCGACACTTCCTAGTTCCAGTCAGTTCTGAGACATGAACCGAAGTTCTGAGACATGAACCGAAGTTCTGAGAACAAAAGTTCTGAAGTGCTGGAGTTAGTTGGGAGTTCTTCCGAGTCTAGTTGGGATTATGGAATCTTCCACATCTGAGTGGAACCTCTGACGGACTCACAGCTCATGTGAGTCCACCCGTGAGGTGTGCGTGTTGTTGAACGGAGTACCGTCACTACTTCGGACGATTCTCAGCCATCCTAAGGAGACGCTGAAAGGTAGCGTTGAAATGGAACTCCGTACAGGAGCTGGCCTATCTTCTGCAAAGGTAACGAGTCGCTTCACTACCGAGTGCACCGAGGTTGAGCTGGGTTCGGATGGAGGGTGCCGTTCTTCGTCAACACACTTCCCCTCATCCATCTTTCCTCTCCATTTAAACTCCTTCATTTCCCATCTTTAAAACTCTTCTATCTTGCCAGTAA